AAGACTATAAACGCTCTTTTTTAAAAATATTTTGTTCTCGGTGCTGAAAATAGAATAACTATATTTTGTTGGCGAGAGCGAGCGTCGCGTCGCATTCAAAGTGAAAAACTTTTACGATCAAGATGTTAGTGAGCACTGATCTCAGCCATTTATGAGAAACGATAGAATCATTTTGAAATCAATAAATTCTGATGGAAAACAACATTTTGAAAATAAAGAGATTTTACTTCATAAATGTTTATGATCAACAATTATTCATTCGAAACAAAAGTGTGAAAATGGTGTGTCACACTTTACACCGTCATTCTGGCATTATTTCGATCAAAATTAAGCACAAACAGTTTTCGTTACAAACAAAAGAATATTTCATATTGGACTATTGTTTCGGTAACGATAAGAGAATTTATACACAGAGTGAGAGAGAGAGCCATTTGTTGACATAAATCGATTCAAACACATGCGCGAATACAAAAAAAACTATTGAAACAATAAAAAATTCGTCATTCTTGAATCATTGAATTTCAATGAATAAAATTATTTTGCATTCATTTTCTTTTTCTCTTTTCATTTTTTGATAAAACTCAACTTTATCGCAAGTTTCTACTAATTTTGATCGAAATATGAGTAGTTTTCGTTTTTCATCAAATGATTTGAATCTGCAAAAATTCGTTCACGGCTCGTTTCGTTTAATTAAACAAGCTAAAACCTTCAAACCAATTTCCGATGAACGAATAAACAAGCACTCAGGAGAAATATTTTTAAATATAAATAAATAATGGAGTAGATTTTAGATTCGTTAGATACGATGTAATATTCACTTCACGATATTTCAGAACTTGACAGAATTCATCGATAACGGTGAAGAAGAGAAACGCATAAACAATTAGCAACTACAAAAATGTGCACAAATATTTACATCACATTTACGCGTATGTGTGGCTTCGCAAGTGTGTACGAAAAAGTCAAACAAGGTTTTCGATACTATTTTGATTGCAAATAATTTCGAAATGATGTAATCTGATCGCAATCAATTGATGACCGCTAAACTCATTTACACACATTTTTCGTTCTTTCTTTTTCTTCACACAAACTCTTTTTTTTCTCGAATACATCGGAATTCCGAACGTAGACAGTAAACAGACGAAAACGTACCGAGATAAAAGTTAAACTTGACTATAGCATTGACATTCACAATCGACAACTGAAGTAATCAAATGCAATCTCATTTTGTAGTCGTATTTATTTTTAAAATCCAATTCGGACAGAAAAAACATTTGACATGTACTATCGAAAAGTATGTGTGTTTTAACACAGTAACGGTATTATTCGAAAGAAACGTTTTCAATTGCATATGGTAATGCAATGAAACAGCTGTTCCACATACAGTTTTTTCACCGGTACTAGTTGTAGTGTTACCGAATACACACTATTATTTTTACACTATTTATGCGCGCTTGCTTCATTTAAATATAAATATGCTCCGTTGAAGAAAACCTGAACTTATAGTCTAGTTTCATCGACACTCAGAGAAAAATCCGGTCATAATGTTGTAAGAATTCCGTTCAGGTTAAAGGTTGAATCACATATCATAGAAGTCGACGATAACCACCAATTTAAATACTTCACATATACTATCAATTATGATTTGAAATGGCAGAAGATGCTTGAATTTAAATAATTTTTTTCTGAATGACAATTTTAATTTTGTATAAGGAATATATTCATTGGAACGTTCGATTTTGGTCGTTCGATTGATTTTAAAAATCCGTAAATAGTTGATAAAAAGAAGTGCGTCAGCATACATGTTTACAACGTTTTACGTTCATTTTTCCCTTGCTACTCCCAATTTTTTTTCGATGTATCACTCACACAGTGTGTCAAAATTGAATCATTCGTTTCAACGATGAAATTTGCGATAAATAATACTTACATACAACAATAAAGTCACTTTCGCGTCACTTTCATGTTAAACAAATGCGCAAAATACACATAACCTTCTCTGGAATACCGTGTGAATTACGCGTGTATTTGGCATCAACTTAGAATTTTGCCGCGTAATACCCTCTTTTACTATGTGTGTAAATTAGAAGCTATCAGTTAAACCAAATTCACCTTTTGTGTGAACCATTTAAATTTCACTTCTTTTTCTTGAGATTATAATTTTATATAAGACACAATAATTTATCCATTCATCGAATAGACCAATAATCCAAACCAAATACTCTTTTCTCTTGGCTTCTTCGATTATTATAAATCGGTGTTTTCACTTCACTTCCTTGTGTTTGTTCAGCTGTCACATAGAAATGTAACATAGCACATGTAGAATGTCGCTTCTTTTGTTAGCCAATTTTTAAAACTCACTATTTTATCTTTTTTGTTTGACAAAATACACATAGACACGTTGTTGGATACAATCATCGACAAAGAACACAAGATACAAACACATACGAATAAATTAAGACTATTAGCGGCGAAATGAAACGCGCGTTCGGTCCGATCAAAAACACGTCTTTACTCGTTGAATATTCACTGCGTTCTGTTCGATTGACTGTTACGAACAGCACAATTCAGTTGTTTTGGATAATTTAGCGTCAACAGTCGTCGTACATATACGGTTGTCTCATTCACTCTTGCATTTGTTTTTACGGTTTTGCCGCTTTTGACATTTCACATGCGTTCCAACGATGACAGTTCACATATCCACATGCACACAATGTGTGGATGATGTTTAAATTGAATGGATGACGGTTTGTGTGTGCAAAAACGAAATATAATGCAAATTATCTACCCAATTATGTATCATTTATTGATAATGTTCGCAATAAAATAAAATAATATACGTGGCAGTGATACATATATTTTTATATCTTCAGATTAACATCGCATCTTTTAAACTCACAAATAAATAAATAAATAAATATAATAATTGTTTAATTATATACATAAATCAAGACACTATTACTATAATTATGTTTAAATTATGATTTAAAAATCTAGCTTTTCTTATTGGAATCGATGGAGTATTTATAGAAATGAATAATGAGATAATTTGTTTTAAATGATACGATGACTAAGAGATTGGCGTAACGCCTTTTCTGCATTTGATTCATCAATATCTGCTTGTTCATCAACGGTACTCGTTTGATCTGGAATTCGAGTCCAACGTATCATCGTTTCTGGCGATCGATACAAGAATATCAATTTTGCGTATAAATCTTCTTCCAGTTTAAAATCGCACTGCTCTCTCACTAGATAGATATCTGAACATAATTGTAAAATACGGTCGACGTATGGTAAATCTTTTTGAATTATGTCTGCCACGTTGCTTGCCATGCATTGCCGGAAAAATTTCCACGTAAGTAAAATATACATAGAGTACAAGCCTAATATTCTAATCAGAAAAAAAAATTGTTTTCATAATTTTGGTTGTCGTTTCACTATTTTAAGCAAACGTGCTGAACAGTGCTTACCCCGATTTGATGATGGGACTTATGCCGGATGGGAATAATTTATCATTAAATGTATATATCACTGTATTTTCGGCACAATTTGAATATGGAAGCTTCGATAAAATCTCTTCGTAAAAATTATCACTGCAATCTTCTTCCAATTGCCACCATTTCATTCCATCGATTTCATTCAGGCGTAGTGTAACATTTCGATAATTCTCAATCGGCAGGAATTTTGAGATCGGTTCCAATCCTTTCGAATTCATGACCTTCAAGAACTTCGGGAGAATTAATGGTAAATGAACACGTTGTGCATGATCGCCATCGGATAAAATTTTGAACATCTCTTGTCTGGCTTCAGCATCTGCGTTTAAATCAAATTTTTTACTGAATTCGACTACATCCGAATCATCGTGTGTCAATCGCGATACGGAAATTAAATATCGAATTTTAATTTTTACATTCTGATTAAGGTCATTTTTGAATTTTTGCAAACTCGGCGGAGACATCATAAACAGAGATGTTGAATTCACATCCAGTGAGATGGCAGCTATAAATGATAATTGAAATCTTTTTAGTTACCGTGTGATATTTTATATAGTCTTGGGGTTACCTATATCTGTTTCATCGTAATTCAATATGAATGATCGCACTGAGGTGTTATTTTTGTAGACTTTTTTCAGTTGATTGAAATCATTTTTATCAAATCTGTAATAAAACGATTAAAAATTGACTAGACTGATTGAGTGACTAATTCATTTCAATTGATTGGGCTACTTACTGATGTATGTTTCTTTCTGATTGTGCGGTCATTCGATAGATCGGCTCAGCAGTTGATCCAGCATATAGCGTAACACTTACTTGATACGGCACATTTGAATCTCCAAACGAATTATCGAAGGTGAATACTGCCCATGGACCCCAGATGAGCAAAAAAAATGTGATTAAACAGAACATTGCTCTTATATAATCTCCTTTTGATCCGCGTATCGTGCCCCTTGGTCTCGGTGCAGACTTCTCATATTGTCGACGGCACTAAAAGCAACAATCAAACATAAACATTTTTGTCGGAATTATCTTTGTTTATTCACTTTTACCTTAATCGAGTACAAGTCCGAGTAAATGTCCTCCATTTTGAACCATTCGTAAAGAGACAGCGATGTTTTTATGCAAAGCCAATCGAGCAATGTTCGGGCTTCCGATAAAAATGGTATAAATTGGTAACTATAAATGAAACAAACCAAACGAATATTATTAATCAATTGATGCCTTTGGTTACTGTAAATCATACACTTGAAACACTCGCCAGTGCGTTAAAGAAGATCCATTGGTGGCAAAATTTCCAGATACAGTCTTTGGATAGCCGCAACGTATTTGATAGGCCGAAAACAAGAAATATATACATTTGACGAAGTAAAATAGATTCGGTGGCCATGTAACTGCATGCAACTGTTTTGCATTGTATTTTTGGATGAAATGAAATTGCCATAGGTGAACGGCTATCACAGAAAATAGATAGAAGATAATTTTTCCCTTCATATTTCGCCGTAAGTAAAGCGCACGGTCGATAAGCATACTAGCAAATTGAATTAGCAACACTAGCAAAAATCGAAACGGTATTTGATTCTCTTGTACATATTTGAAAACGCCACGATCATAGGGTGATTGCTGCAACAGAAAAAAATCAACACATTTTTTTGATAAATAAAAATAAATTCCACAAAACCAAATGTATCTTACAGTGAACGCCGAAAAACCGAACATAAGCACAAAGAAATTGAATAAATCACATAAAAATATAAATGTATAGACATCAGCCGGTATTTGAACTAACGAATTACTCCGCACCGTTGCATTTCTGTGCAAAAATTTTAAATAAAAAATTACATGTGACAGTTATTCAGAATGTAGAGACTATGTAGAGGTCGCAAAGTACGATCGAAACCAAAATATTTGTCGAAACGCCTAAAAAATTCGAAACATTGGAACACCCAAAGCATTCGGCCCGACTTCCATCCGACCCAAAAAATATTCTCGTACTCGGAAGATCGTCGGAGCCTCTATGCGACCTGTGAAGGATTTGGATTCATTTGATGATTTAACTTACAATGAGCGAATGTTCAAAAAATCATACGCATATGCTACATTTTCATTCGCTTTCTTTGTCCAAACGCCCATATGTTTTTGAACCGACCGATGAAACAGCACCAAATGCAACAGGATCAAATTGATTGTGGCATTTGATTTAAGAATTTCAATTGTATGAAAATGCGAGATTGTTCGTAAGAAACATTGCATAAAAACCAAAACCTACAACGAAAATAATAATTAATCACTCTATTCAAATTAAACTGCCAAAAAAATGGACCTACCTCAATATAAGTAATCAATGTAAGCCAAAACCGTTTTGATGGTCGTGTAATGGTTAATGTTGCCCAGAGACAAACGCCCAATGACATCGGAATTGTCCAGTTGCTCATCGAAAATATTGTGTTTAAAAATATAAACAAATAACAGATTACGTCAGTGTTGGCAATAAGTGCAAACCAAAGGGCTTGACAAAACTCAGCCGCCACTGAATGTTGGCGTGAGAAAAAGTAGGTCTTTTGTTCACCAGAGCTTCCATCACTGTAAATTACAAAATTACATTAAAATTGGAAAAACAAATGAACGAAATAATTATATTCATAACTCACATTCCACCACACGACTTCAATTTCAGCATTTTTTTCTCTTTGGTCAAAATCTCATGTACAAAGCGATAATTTCGTGAAAATTTGTATAGATACAGTGTAATTGAGACAAGAAAATCGCGTATAATGGTCTTGATACGATGTTCTAATGAAAAAAAAAAACAAACAGAATAAATAGTTTTGAAAATGAAGAGATAAAGCGAAATTTTTTATATTTACTTCGGAGTTCCTCGCCGTTGCTGTCTGCTTCCGATTCATTTTGAATATTGCGATTCTCGCCTTGTTTTGACGTGCTTGGTTCGACTACCGAATGTGCATGGGTAATCTACATAAAATTCAAAACAATAATTATGTAGCATTAACACGAAGTGGATAGAGAAAAAATCTTACCCTCAAAGTACTGTTTTGACTCTTGAGCAGAAACGATTCTTCGGATTCAACATTTGTGTCGTTGAGCCGCGATTCTGTTTTTTCAACGAATTCTTCATACAAATATTTGCCATTGTATCGAGTGGCTTCTTGATGCGAAGTGGCTGCTATGAGATTCGGTTCAAATTTCCGTTGATTAGCCTTAATGCGTTCGACTTTCAATTTGATTTTCTCAAGTGTTTCATTTTCACGTTGTTCTTTAATCGAATGCATTTCGGACAAGCGTGCTTCTAACAACTTGGTTCCTCTTGAATCGCATACAAATGTGGCTTTGCTTTCGTTAATCATGTGAACAAAGTCGAAACTTTTGAAAATGCGCAATTGAAAGATTAGAAATGCAAAGCATAAACAATCATAGCCCACGTCCAATTGATCCAAGTGCACAATCGATGATTCATTCTCATTCAAAAGGCTATGCACTGATGTAACCATATCATCATTATTCGGTGATGATATTTTACGATTCTTTTCGTGAAATATAACCCACACATTATAAATCGATTTTGTTACAATCACAAATACATTGTACGCAATCAATAAATCCCACCAACTTATAATCGATCTAATTGGTTTCATGTAGAAATTAGTGCCAATATAACAGAATACAAACGATGCAATCAAATAACCAAGTGAATACAGGTTGATTTTAATTGTGCCAGTTAGTAAGACAACTGTCAATGTGATCCAAAATGAACTTAAGTAAACAACACATTTGACGACATCAATCCAATTCGTTGGATACAGATAATCATGTGTTCGGATTGGTAGTTGATTTGATATGATGACAGATACATCTAGAACCGTTGACTGATTGCGACCCCCTTTATATATTCCACCACTGTATTTTTCTTCGATGCGAAACACATTCTGTTGACGACAAATGCACATCAATAGCAGAAAATCGAGCAATAACTTCAATGGTTGTTGTTTCAATACAAGCCAATTGCTCAATGCATCAATTTGATCGAACTCCCATTTGAAATCTGATTTGGAGAAAAATGAAAACGAAAGCTATAACCATCACGATCGAATTTATTTTGCATTGAACCTTACCTATTTTCAAAAATAATGGCAAATTCAACAGACTTGCATATTGAGCAATGTTGGCTAGTGTTACAAAATAGAGAAATAAAGACCATAGCAACTGCTTCGATTTGCGTCGACAGGCAAACATAATGCACAACCAAATGACATACACAGCCGATACCACGTCTCTTCGGTAACTGATCAATATCACAAGCACGATAAGAGTTATTTCGATGCCGAATTTGTAAAATCCATAGTTGAAGAGATATTTGATCAATAGTTTTACACTTTTATCTGCATCTTCACGTGTTACATTTTCAAAGAGCACTTCTGATCCATCAACCGTTTCGCCTTTCAAGAATCTAGTAACAACAAATAAAGATAAATTCAAACGACTTATTTCGTACAAATGTTAAGGTTCTTTACTCACCGTTTTCGCGTTTGATAGTATAAGACTGACGCAAAGAGTGTTCCTGCTGCCAAAAATGTCAAATACGGTGCAAAAATCTGTATAAGATTTTTATGGCTATTTAATTTTTGTACTCCGATCCATGTTGCTGTTGAGTTTATATCACAAAAGGCCATTGATGTTAAAGATTGCTCTGTCCCCTAAAATATCGATATGATTCAGAGGTGATTTGAATTGCAAACGGCAAATATTGATAAAACTCACAGGAAAACAAAGCCAATCAAGATTTTTGGGAATTTTGAACAATTCAAATAGAATTTTTAAAACAGCAACAATTCCAGCTCCCAATGAGATAATGCCACAAATCAATTTATTTGTGTATGTTTCAAATAAACAAGCGAAAATCACAAGAGCGAATAGCGACAAATTGAAAAATGAAATCTGAAATGCCAGTTATTGTTGTATAAAATTAAGTTTTTATAAGACAAATTTTATGCTAACAAACCTCACTAATGCTCATAAGAAATCCCAAAATCATTAGTACTTTGAAGAAATGTAGTTCCAACAGGCGACAAATCCAATCCATGGCCTTTTTATTCAAATCGATGAATGAGCTTATACCTTGAATAATCTGAAATAAACCAGAAAATTAATGCAGACCCTTCCGATTTGTGTGAGCTTTTTTTCTATTTCTTTACCTTTTCAATGAATGATTTTTTTGAATTCTCCGTGTTACTTTTGAATTCTTCAGCACTGGCTGCCTTCTCCTTGGCCCTGGCATCTGATTCTGATTCTGATTTCCACATGAATTGTTTTGTATACTTATCTTGGAATATCAGTAGTTGAATGGATGTGATAACGACCAAAAACGTGAAGTAAAACAATTGAATAAGTAGCTGCAGATTCGAATCATACCGATGAAGACCAATGATGGTTTGCCTGAAATCAAAATCGATTTAGAATAAAAAAAATCATCGAAGAAAAGGAGACAAAACTCACATATGACTGTTTATCCCCATGTGATTCATGAAGAAACTCTCCACTTTTTCAAATTGATAAATGTATACAAGAATCAAATTGAGATTTGCCGATACGTTGACCAGCATCCAAAGTGGATATGTCATGTTTCGCCAAACGTACAATGACAATTGATATGTTATTATGAAGATCAGAACGTAAACCAGATAGCATAGTTTCATGAGATTTGCTTCTTTGCCCCAAATTGCATAAGTGAACATTGTGAATAAAATCAGTAAAACCCATAGATGTGTCAAAACATTAATGCCAAAATCAAAACACTTCCAAATGGTGGCCTTCTTCTCAGGATGCATGGGAAATGATTGCAAACTACGAGCCGATGCACGTTTTTGTTCATCATTACAGCATCTACTTTGACGCAGTGTGAAACAAAATGTTAATATACATATGGCCTGAAACAATAGCGGTATGCATGGAAAGATCTCTGAATCGTAGCGACTGATGCCAATTTCAGCCAAATGTGATTTCAACCAATGACCTTCGTCTTTGTGCTCATTTACCTCTTTCGTTGGTATGATACAACAGATGTATTGCAATATCATCAACAAATCGGAGTAGAGTACTGTTTAAAAAGAAAATTAAAGATAAAATTAACTGATTTTAATTATTTAATCCAGCAGAAATTCAAATATCTTGAAAATTTATTAACCTATGAATAAATTTAAACGATGCACGCTTTTTCGTTGAGTCGATCGAGTCCACAATATTATCACAATCAGTAAGAACACAAACGATAACCAACTACGGAACACAATGCTCCACAGCTATAATGAAAAGGAGTGTAAAAGAACATGTAAAACACTTTATTTTATCGATAAAAACCAATACATTACCATCATCATGACATTCGAGACAATGTTACTGTGCCGACATATAAAACCATAAACTCGCTTGATAAAAGTTTTTGTTGCGCTAGTCTCCTTTTTCTCTTCATGTTCCACTGGTAGAGAAGAGGGGCAAAAAATTACTTATTAATTATTTTTGATTGTTTTACGATTATTTTTCGATTAGTTTCGATTATCGTCATTTACATTCATACATTAATTGTAATATATGAATGTAAATGACGAATGTATCATCAGCGATAAAAAATGATAAAATTATTAAACCTAATTACCTTCAATCGGTTCGAGTTGAATGGCTGTTGAGTTTTTTCTCTCCGGTTTCTGTGAAGAAAATCAAAAGAAAATTCGTTTTTAAAAATCACGTATTCATTTCAAAGTATATATCATCGAACCTTTCTGCTTCTAATGTCACGTAGGTAAATTGCTGAGGTGTAATAGCATAGAATAAGTACAATTGGATTCAAAAATACATCTACTTCAGTCAGCTCAAGGACAGATACAAAGTTATTGTCAACCAATTCAAATTGAGACTTCAACCCCAACAACCTGATTGTTCAACCAAAGACATTGTCTGATTAGCTTTCGGTTTTTTATTCCATTCCAATTTTGCTATTCCAAATAGAAATTTCCAATGTATGTTACTTACTGCATTAATGTACTGTTATTTTGGCTATGTTTATGAAAAAATTCATTTTCAACCGCAAACGATGCTTGAATCGCAAATATGGCACCGACATGCACAATTAAAACGGCACAAACTATGCGACAAGTCAGTACAAAACCATGATACATTTGTTTATTCATTGCCCAAAATGTGATGAGCAATAAAAATGCGAGAAAATATAATGCACTAGGAACTGATGGTTGTAAAGTTGCGGCGAGTAACAATGTGGATAACACAAAAAAGATTGCTGTGTTGAAAGTATACAAAAGTAAATACATTTTTCCATATTTTTTATCGCACTTTTGGACAATATATGTATAAATTTACCGATTCCTTCCAAAATGATATGACTTTTAGCCTGCAAATATTTGCTTCGACCGAAAATGTTGTCGATGATGATCGAATCTCCCATTTCGTTGCTGTGTTCAACTGCCGAAATCTTCTTCAATAGCACCAGTGTAATGACAGAAGACACCCATAGAAATACGTCCATCACGAAGCACCAACAAATTGACTGAGAACTGTGAATGTGTGAATTTAAAGAACCCAAATTAAAACCATTCAGTGATGCTAAATCATGACACTATAATGAGCCATACTTATTCATATGTTCACTTTGGATTACTTACTGTGGTATGTACAGTTCGGTGAGTCCGATACTTTGGAGATGACCACCTAACGGTTTCATAGTGCTCAGTAATTCCAATCCCTTGAAATACAACATTAGCTGGATACCGATTTGCATGAGCGAAATGATGGTCGATGTAGCCAACACGCACTTTAAAAAGCATCTTGTGCGTTTATGGGTCAATTTTCTTGTTGTGAACGGTAAAAATGGTGCATACAGCAAGAACACCAAATATGGAATTGATAAAACAGCCGGCCGTGAAATTATGCCTGTTAAAATGTCGATATTTCTTTAGTATTTTGGCCAATCAATGATTGTAAAACCGTGAAATGCCAATTAAATATACTTACAAAATCCAAACAGCACCGGAAAAATGACCCGTTGCACCAAGTACAATATGATTGCCGACATTTTGGCAATCTATGTTGCACTTGCACGTGGTACGAACACAATTTTAATTTTTTTTTAGTTTTTCATTAAATTAATGGTAACGTAAACGACAGAAAAATAACAATACAAAATAACACTTAATACAAACACGAAAATTTTAAATATTAGTTTAATTTGTCTTCAAATGTCAATAATAATAAAAAAAAAACAATTTTGTACAACAAAAAAATGCCAATTGAAATCTTTTAAATTTATTTCCAATAAGATGAGTGTGTTACTGTTATTGGTGCAAGACAATTTAAACTGGCGAACAAAATACGTATCAAAACTTGTATTTGATATGTTACAGTGTTGCCAACATACAAAAACCAAATTAGCGTATGACAGTCATACCAGTGCTCTCTCAATGACATTAGTGTGTGTGTGTTTTTTTGTACTTTTTTCTTCTTTTATTCAAAAATGGCTACCAACAATCATTCACACTGACGACTCAGTTACAGTAACACACTACAGTGTCTTTTATGTTCATTATATGGTAGAAATCAAAATAATTTTTGTGCATTGGACAATTTATCTTATCAATATTGTTGTATATTCAAGCGTGTCGTGAATTTCAGCGCATAAACAGTGCTTTAAAAAGTGAATTTTACGAAAACGAAATAGAAATTAAGACGAATATATAAATAATAATGGGTCGATCCAGGTCACGTAGTCGAACACCAAAAAAGCATCATAAAAGTAAACATCGCAAAAAGAGTAAATCTAAAGAACGTGAACGCGAACGATCCGAAAGACGTTCCATTTCAATTCTATCACATTCAAAATATTCGCGTGATAAAAGCCATGAACGAAGTCCCAGATCCAGGTAAATGAATTTACAATACGGCCACATACGAAAAATCGATTTGATGCATCACTATCATCCATAGTAGTGGTGTGTCCAGTGATTGTTTATGTCAATGAAATAGTTTTGGGTGGAGTCGCCGCACACATTATTCACTGACGCAAATAAATGCGAACAAAACCAAACATTCCATTGATTTTTACGAATGATGTTTACATTCTTTTTTTTCTCGTCTCGTGTACAGAAAACGTTCTGTGTCGGTGTCTTCAAGGAGCAGTAGCGATGACTCCTTAGATATACCAAAACGACGAAAGAAGAGCGGCCGACGAAAACTGGATGAAGTTGAACGTTTGGCTGAAATGGAACGGCAAAGGAGACAAAAAGAAGTTGAGCAGAAGGTAACTTTTCACTGCATACTTTTGGAATTGAATGAAAAAATATACATAAATTATAACAAACTCTTTTTCTTTGTCTACTTATTTAGACAGTTGAGGATGAAGCGGCACGACGAATTGAATTTTTGGTAAAAAAGCGCGTCGAAGAAGAGCTGGAAAAGCGTAAAGATGAAATTGAACAGGAGGTAAATCGTCGAGTGGAAGCGGCCAAAGTTCAGATGGAACGTGAAATGATGGTTGAATTAGAAAAACGACGTGAGGCAGCTCGTTTAGAAGAGCAAAAACGAGAGGTAAACATTTTGAATAGCGTTTCTTACACTAAATTCGTCGTCATTTTAGTTCAATTTCGACTGAATCGAAAAATACAACCAATTTTTTTCTCTTTATAATTTTTTTTTTCTATCTCTCTAAAGAGACATTTCTTGTTTGCCATTTATTCCGTTAATTTTTCTTCAAATCATGCAATTACTTCCTCATCAATCGTCTTTCTATTCTTTTTACCAACCAAAAAAACACCATTTAAAATACTTTTCTCAAATCAAATTAGACAGCCCAAACAAAACAAAAACTCACACACACGTGGAAATCGAACGCGTTTTCGTATGTTGATGTGATAATTCTCTCAATAATAATTCTAAATGTTTTTTTTTTTAATTCGGCAAAATGCCATGCTTTACATTTCTGCATTTTGTGTCCGAAATTGATTGTTAACCATTTCAAGGTGCGTGACCTCAAACTCAGACTTATTGCTGTTGCTGAAACACATACATTTGGATTACAATTCATTTTCAATCGATAAAAAATGAATAGAATTTCGGTATATTTTGAATTTTCATCATTTCTTATATTTTGTGTCAAGACGAAGTGGACAAAAAAAATCAAAAAAAAAAAAAAAAGATTGACATTCACACAAACTCATACTAATTGAATGTTTGGATATTGGGCATGTTCATGACACGCACACATCTTCAACTATCGTCAATTTTCTCATAAAAAGTCATTATTTTTGTTTTTGTTTAGTATTTTTATTTTTTTTTCTAACCGATTAATTTTATAGCGGAATTGCATGCAATTTTGTTTTCAGTTGTTTCTCATCTGTAGAATGTTGTGATATTTTTTTCTTCTTAATTTTTGTTGTAATATAACTAGAATTAGCATTTTTAATTGTTAAAAAGAAAAACAAACAAAGAACCAAAAAGAGAAAAGAAAACAAGACCGAAGCTGAATCAAATTCAATTATTCAATTCTGGAAGCCTTAAAAACGCCAGCACGAACTTTTTGGAGAACATTCATTCAAACGCACGCTACTTTTGGTAACGACTTAAATTCGATGTTATAAATTGTAAACTGACTCTTCACCTTCTTTAAACACGTGGAAGATTCAATGGACTATATCATGCAGGGGGCTTAAGCTCATATTTAACACATGATAAAAAAAATTACACACACATACAAAATATACCGCCAGTGTTCAACACTCTGGCTTTTTGAATAGGTGTTTCGTTTGCTTAAAGAAAACATTTTGTTTACCTAAAATTGAGCACATTTAAAATTTGTAAAAGAAAGCCAAATGTTAGAAAAAAAAATATCAATTTTATCAAAATGAAATACGTTGGATACTTACAAGTTTTGTTTCCATCATTGTTTTTATCGTACATTGGCCAAAATTACAATCAATTTTTGAAATACAAAGTTTTATTTTAAATTAAACAACAAGTGTAAGCAGGACAGCAAAAAGAAATTACCTTTTTTTAAATCAAATATTAGTCAAGCATAAACGACCCCAAGCATCGCAGGTATTATTTGATAAAAAAATCATTTAGATCGTAAATTTTTTTTTGGAGTTTTTTTTTACCAACGAGAACAAAATATATGTCCAGTTCCAAGTTATCTTTTCAGTTATTTTGTTGTGTAATTTTTCCAACGGTGAGATATTCACAATTTACATTTTCCAAGAAAAATAATCACAATGGTATTTTTTAATTCAGCTTCTATAAACTAATTCCTTATTTAAACACACATACACACACTCAATCAAGAAAAAAGAAACAAATTTTATATAATGACTGTTAAGAAGATGTATGAGTTTTAATTTCTTCTGATTAAAACTGAGATAGAGAGAGAGAGAAAGAGGTGCTTGCGCTTATCATTATTAGCTCTTTCATTACGTGGACAAAATGCACAAGAGTCATATATAGCTTATTTTTAAAATGCATACATTTATTTATTTTGTTTGATAGAACGATTCACTGAATTCTCCTTTCCCTCATTCAGTGAAATTGAAACCCAGAATCTTCTTTCCAGCTTTCTTTTCAGTTTTTTTTCGTTCGCACATTTTTTTTTTAATTTTTTTTCCATGATTTTGTGCTTATTATTTAAATATTGAATATAGTTCCAGATTTATATTTCAAATACAGATTCGCATAACATTGTGGTTTCTCTTTTTCTGTAGGTAAAATGTAAAGTGAAAAACGAAAAAAAAAGAAAAAAATACATATTTTTCTGTTTAATTTAAGCGCTTAAGTAGGAAAATAAATTATATCTTTTTAACAACACAATTTTACATTGATGGAATTACATTATTTACTTTTATTTCAATCGTGTTTGAAGACATTTCATGGCTTCATAATTTTAACCAATTTTATCAATATTAAATGGATCATCTCAATTTGTAGGAAACTGAACGGAAAAAACGTGAAGAGCTCGAACAAATCATCGCCGAAAATAACAAGAAGATCGAAGAGGCTCAAAAGAAATTGGTAAATACTTGACATTTTAAATTTTATTTTAATTCAATTGAAACTTAATAGGAAAAAGTTAATATATCTTTTTATTTGTTTCTTTTTTTTTTTCTCTAGGCCGAAGAACGATTGAGTATAATCGAAGAGCAGAGAAAAATGGATGAAGCCAGACAAAAAATGCGAAAAGAGCATGAAAAACGTGTTAAAGAAGAACAAAAAATGATTTTGGGTAAAAACAATTCGCGGCCAAAGTTATCGTTCTCTTTAAAACCAACGGTTTGAACCGGTTTCATAAAGTGTAAAAATTCTATAACCAAAAAAACACAACATTTTTCGGAAATCATAAAAATTGTTCGAGCAAATGTGATTTTACTTAAAAATTGTAAAAAAAAATTCTTCGTTGATTCTATATGCACGCAAGTCAATATTTGACTTTACCTAAAATGAGTTATGTGAGATAAAAACAAAACTGATTTGAAATAAGAAAGAAGCACAAAAGCCCTTCGAGTAATTGCCATGTGTGTCATATATGCCCTGCAGAAAAAGAAAAATATAAATGTATTCGTTTCCATATAATAAAATCCCTCAAAAGTGAATTAAATATTGAATGTAAATTATATGACTTGAAGATGCTATGGTTTGAAAAGTGTCTAGTATTAAGCATTTTTTGAGCACAAGATTTCAAGTGATATAGTTTTCCATAAATAATCAAATGAAATACTAAAATTTAATGATTCGAAGCGGTTTCTTTTGTGCTTAGTGGCAGAAAAGTGTTTTTTTATCAAGTAGTTGTTTATTAAATTCAACGTTTCAGTTTTATTTATTTCCATTCGAAAATCGTATTAATTTCCAATCAAACATAAAATCGATTGCAATCATTGAACACTCAATAAAATGAAGAGAATATTTAATTAGTAATTCAAAATGTTTCTTTCTGTATTTGTCAAATTTAAAATTCTATTTTCTCTAAGGTTTAAAGCAATTCTAGGCTCTCTTTTATACGAAGCCAGGAAAATAAATATACATCCATACTCTTTTCAATTACCTGAATTAATTGAATAATAACTATCGATTATGAGAAGATTTAAAATCATTCACAAATGACTATTTATCCAAACTGTAATTCATTTGAAAGCAAATCAATAAAACGCTTACAATTCTATACACCCAACAAATTTTATTCTTTTTTCTTATAAATTATAACTATAACTTGCTGCTTTTACTTAAGTATGTTGTTTCGAAATATCGATAGCGATCGCTACTAAGTTTGACATCTGATGCGATATTCATTTTTGACATTTCAAAAAAAAAAACAAGTTATCTAGTTTACTAAATTTTGGCGCTTTCGACAGATCACTAGGGGAGATCGGAATAATGTGAGATGCTCCAGCCCACCAATGGATAAACATCTAGCAATAAATTCCGATTGCATTTCAGATATATTTCAACACGAGGTACATTTGTCATAAGTCTGATTTTTCTGCTTCTAGTTTGGCATTTTCATCATCATTTGTAAAGCTTAATTGCCCCGTTTTCCTCTATTGCCTGTGAAAATGTGTCAAATATTTTTGTCATTGTAATTGTGTGGTTATGCTCTATATGAAACTATATAGTATGGGCGTTTAACGTGATGTACGTAAATCAATTTAAACATTTTAGAATTATTGTAGTGTTTTATTAAATACACAACAAGTAAGTGGAATAAATTAAAAAAAAGGAAAACTGTTACTAGTAGTAAATTACTACAGTTGATTTTTTTAACTTTCAGTTACAAAAACAATTTTAGAGAGAATGTCCAATACTAATGAATACGGTCAAATGATTGGCGATGCCATGCCAAATTGGAAAACTTGTCCAAAACCACAATGTGATATCACATTAATCGGTCGAACTTGTCGATTGGAACCACTGGATGCAAACAGACATAGTAGTGACATGTGTACGGCGTTCAGACAATCTGATAATCGAGACTTATCTTAGGTCTGAACGACCTAACACCCTTGAACAGTGGCAGAATTATATTGATGAAAAGGTGTCAATGGGTAGAAACACAACATTGCCGTATTTTGCTGTCATTGACAGTTCCTGCAAAGCAATTGGAATTATTGCACTGGTGCAAGCGCATCCACTTTTGGGAGTAGCAAGAGTAGGCTGTGTTATATTCTCTCCTTTGCTAAAGAAAACTATTTCATCAACTGAAGCTCATTATCTCTTGATGTCTTACGTATTTGACGACCTTGGTTATCGTCGTTATGAATGGGTATGTAATAATTTGAACCTACCATCGCGCAATGCAGCTCAACGGTTAGGATTCACCTTGGAGGGTACATTCCGGAAAGCATCAATCATGAAAGGTTGTTCTCGAGACACTGATTTTTTTTCGATTATTGATGATGAATGGCCAACATTGAAAGCCGCATTTCAAGCATGGTTGGAGCCTACAAATTTTGATTCTTACGGGCGGCAACTAAAAAACTTGGCAGCATTTCAAAATGAGCAGGAGCTCAATTCTCGCTCCGCCATATTACCACTATAACAAATTGTAATTATTTTGAAAGATGTTTAATTTGATTAGAAGGAAAGAAAAACTAAATGAATGAAATGATAAAAATAAAATTAGTTTACATTTGCCGAATTGACTTTATTTACCTACGGATTAGATGAGAGAATTCGCCTCGAAAATCCATAGCAAATCGGAGGATATTATGCCACCAAATTAAATTGAAGAGCTAAAAAAAGCCTTCACTTTTGAATTGACAAAAAAAAAACTCCCGATTTGCAAAGGACCCCTGGTCAGAAGCTATGGTAATGTGACATAAAACGCATTCATACACAGAGAGAAAAAATTTGGTAAATGTAAAGGGTAATTTGTAAGTTTAATATTATTTTACCAAATTACCGTACGAATTCTACCATTTTGTCATATTTTCAAAACAAAGGACACGAACAAATTAAATTTACCCCAGCATAATATTACATTTACCAATTGCCGCGTAGCAGTCAAAACATACCTAACGTCGACATATCATCGTATTGTTCACAACCTACAACATGTCTAATCGCGTGAAATTTTGTCCGCAAAAAAATAAAATCGAAGAGATCAAACCAGAATTGGAATTGGCAAATTTTAATAATTTGTGTATAAATAATACATAATCGTCGATAAAAGTAAAATCAAAATTGTCGATTCAATACGAAGAATTTAATAACACAGTCGATGTTATTGAATCGCAAATAAACAGTTTTCAATTAACAGAAAAAACACAAAATCAAATTTATGAAATCATTCATAATTTATTAAATAGTTTTAGCCAGTATCGACTGTGTTATTAAATTCTTCGTATTGAATCGACAATTTTGATTTCATTTTTATCGACGATTCTGTATTATTTTTACACAAATTATTAAAATTTGACAATTCCAATTCTGGTTTGATCTCTTCGATTTTATTTTTTTGCGGACAAAATTTCACGCGATTAGACATGTTGTAGGTTGTGAACAATACGATGATATGTCGACGTTAGGTATGATTTGACTGCTACGCGGCAATTGGTAAATGTAATATTATGCTGGGGTAAATTTAATTTGTTCGTGTCGTTTGTTTTGAAAATATGACAAAATGGTAGAATTCGTACGGTAATTTGGTAAAGTAATATTAAACTTACAAATTACCCTTTACATTTACCAAATTTTTTTTCTCTGTGTATGCAATTATTTATGAGTGCTTTGAAATATTAAAACTTTGCGGAACTTGTTAACAAATGTTTTGACTTAATAGCCAAATTCATCAAAGCACGTAATTTGGCCAACGGTCGAAAATTAATATTTGTAGTTTTCTTTAAGAAATGACTGTGAACTCTGGACTAAGAATATTCGGTGTATGATTGGCAATATGTTCGATAATCGATGTTGTGAGTACATTATAAAAAGCAATTTTTATTGATTTAAAACGTATGTATATGAATAGGAAGGTTGCTGTAATTGAACCAACGTAAGCAATCTACAATACACATGGCCGATACTCACATGCATTTCAAGTTAGTCTAGATGTGGCATTACATTTTACAATCATTAGTATAGTTTATGTAGGGTAAAATGAAATTACATTTTGCACGGTATTTCATAATGTTATATATATTGATTATTTACAACGGCCATAGCTGTGAGAAGTACGCCTCATGAATTCAAGATGCCTTAATCACTCCTTTTCAACTTGATTCGAAACTGTTTACCTACAAGAGCTAAATAATAAAAATAGTGAGGTGGCAAGGTGGGAATCAGTTCGTGCAATCTAAAACATATGGTTGGGAATAAAATGAATCTCCAATCTGCCAGTTGTCAGGATACTATGAAGAAACTTACAGTGATATAAACTTGGCACGGATTCAACATCAATTAAAACTGATCTGCAATTATATAAATAATATAAAAATCGATCGAAAACAGCACAAATGCGTTGAAAAGAAAACACGTATTTCCAGTTGAATTTCGTTCGTCATTCGATACAGTAGCTCAGATCGGAAAATGATGTTTAATGAAAAATTTGATATCCCAACTACACGGGAACTAATTAGATCCATACCTGATCTACAACGCAATTGGACTTTGAAGAGTCCATACAAAAAATTTTGTTATTTGTATGGTGTCGCCAGATCGATTTGTATTTATTGGCAATTACCAGTATTTCTAGATGATCAATCATTGTGTTGGTGGTCATATTTTGCATTTGTTTATGTGGGTGCAGATGTGTCACTTACAATATATACCGTGTATTATTATTTCATGTGCTCGGAGCTTGAAAATGGCCTTCCATGCTGTGGCCTATGCGCGCTTTTAATTGGTGTGAGTTTTGAATGATGATATTTTGTATGAAACAAATATTTAAGTCAGTGTACTTTTATTTCAGTCGTTACCGCTCTTGTTGTTAGCCCTCTCAAAACGTCGGTATCTTTTGAATGATTGCATTAACTACAGCGGTCGATACATTTACCCTGATAAGCATGAAGATGAAAAATACATTGAAATCTGTTCAAAGCATCTTGATAATATGGTGAAAAACGTTTTGTTTCGCATTTCACTTGTATTCCTTTCTTTCGCTTTCATCGAATTGTCACTAATATACAAATACATAACTGATGGTACTAAATCAACAATGACACAACTTCGAATTCCTTTCACCGAGGAAAATTCGAATGCTGAATATATTGGTAATACTCTAATTCAAACCTCTATCGGTTTTCACGGATTTCCTGGCTTCATCATCATGGAAATTGCACTTGAGGCATTTCTTGGATGCATAATGATAGCGCCAAAGCTGATCGAGCATGAATTTGAAAAAATGAACGATATTATTGAGAAGCAAAAATACAATAAATTACAAGTGATCGGTGCATTTAAATACACGATGAGCTTATCTATGGATGCCGAGGAGTATAATCAATTATTTTAAACAATTAAATCGATTCAAAATCATTTTCTTAAATTAATTCTAGGTTTTCGGCCACAGCTATCGATCTTTTATATTGGCGAACTTTTTTTACCCCACCCGCATTCACATTTAGTATTGCCATGTCAATATTTTGTCAATACATGGTAAATAATACACTGTGATCACAAATTTTTCTCTCGATTCTATGAATATTTCGTATTCATTTCGTTTTAGTTCGATTATGTTGGTGGATATGGATTGACCATTATCGCTTTTGTACAATTATATTTTCTTTGTGCTTATGGTGAAATATTTCAGGTAATTTCAAACATCAAGCAAACAATTCATTCAAGGAGACAATTTCAAATATTGTATTTTCTGCTCTAAGGATAACGACACAGGAAAAATATTATACGACACCAAGTGGTATGCACTACCCGTTGAAGTTCAAAAAAATCTGATACCTCTGATCCATCAAAAACAAAATTCGAGAGGCCTTTCGATTGGACCATTCATAAAAATTAATATTGAATGTTTTGGAATTGTATGCAGAAAAACTATCCCATTTTATTCCAGTAATCTCGTGAATCTTATGAAATTGTTTTTGTTTTAGATCTCAAAGAAAATCTATTCCTTTATAATGTTTCTATTGAATTTTTATCAGTAAGATATTGAGGACAATATCATTCAAGCTAATGAATGGATGGCCACCTTTACTATTATTATTACTATTTTGCTTTTGTGCACAGATAGCTTCGAATCGAGTTGAAAAGGAGTGATTAAAATGCCATGCCTTCACCTTGAATTCATAAGGCATACTTCTCACAGTTATGGACATTGCACATAAATAATACATATAACATTATAAAATTGAAGCAATTTAAAATGCAATTTCAATTTGCGTCACATGCTTTACACAACTATGCTAATAAATGAAAAATCTAATGTGAATTCAGACGAATGTTATAATAATTATCTTCATTTCTGTAATATAAATTAAATTTTAATTGTTGCTGGAAATTTATGTTTGCTCGTGGCCTTTGTCTGTGGGGAACTTTAAAAAGGAATATGAACACAGCAAACAATTTAACACAGTGGCATTAGTGATGATCATTTTATTGATAAATTGGTGTTTAAACATTCAGAAAAAGTAAGACGATCAAATTTGTCAACGTTTACTCAATGAATGATGAGACACAAGAATAGAAGCAGTGCTGGGCACGAACATCAATGTCCACCTGTGATCGGTCGATCGTTCGTTGAAGTTATTAATGGTCGGTCGGTCTTTCGTAAAAATTAAAATGTTCGTTGTGTTCGTTCGTATGTGCACAGTAAGAAAATATCAGCCGACGCTATACGCAAAACCGACTGGTACGTGCGCTCATACGTTTTTACATCTTTTACATCTAGTGACCATACGATTTTTCGACTGATTCGTTACTCTTTGTGCGTATCTTCGCACAGTCGAAAAATCGTATGGTAATAGATGTTAAAGATGTAAAAACGTATGAGCGCACGTACCAGTCGGTTTTGCGTATAGCGTCGGCTGATATTTTCTTTCTGTGTGCGGACGTCCGGATGTTCGAAGCAAAATTGTAAAATCAGGGTTGTTAAATAATTTATAATTGTACAAATTCAAAGAAAAAAATATTTAAATAAATAAATTTTCAAATAATTTCTAATTCATATAAATTTTCTTTCTCAAGTGTTCAAAATATAAATTGTTTTTTATTACGAAATGTTATGAAATTCATCTATATCTATTTCATCATTGAATATATGAGGTTATTTCAGGATAGACTATACCAAATATATGGAATTTCCTAAAATTCGTAATAAGGAAATTTAATATTTTGTTAGTGTTCAAATTAAGAACAAATACTTATGTTAATTAGAAAATATTCGAAAATTCATTTATTTAATTATTATTATCTTTTGTAAATTTCAAAAAATTTAACAGATAATTGTAAACTCGACATGACGTCCGGACGTGTTCGGTGTTCGATCGCACATACGAACGAACACAACGAACATTTCAATTTTTACGAACGATCGACCACAAAAACATATTTTTTCAATGTACGAACGAACGACCGACTATTCGTGCCCAGCTATGTATAGAAGGCTGTTAATTTTGTCCCTTGCATAACAAATAAATTCGAAGGACATAATATGCAATTAGTTTACAAGAGTGAAAACAAACTTGCAAATCTATTGGGTTCAAGTGTGAAGAATGTGGGATTGTATATTATGGTCAAACGAAAAGAACACTCGAGATACGTTTTACAGAACATTTAAGATGTATTCATAATAAAGAAGTATTGAAATCAGCTCTAGCAATGCATGCACACACCGAAAATCATTTCAACATTGACAATAAGCGTTTAATAAAACAAGTTACGGACGATAGACGGCTCGATGCTTATGAATCGTATTATATCAAAAAAGACAATAACAATTTAAATCAAGATGAAGGGAACGTAGAATCATGCCTACTCTCACTCATTTGCAATTTTTAAATGAAATGTGTGCGTTTTTATGTTACTGTTTATTGATACCGTTATCTACAATATTCTATTGTTTATTGAGTGCCGTCGGTGCTGGTGTAAATGAATTTTTTTTTGGACTTTTGGTTCATGCGATACGGACTTCACTTTTATATAAATGGGAGACATTAAAATATCCGCATACAGCTACGCAACACTGACGCTCTGTTGCCTGCGTACACTGTAGCGTGTACGCAGGCAACAGAGCGTCAGCGCTGCGTAGCCGCACGTAGCCGTATGCGGATATTTTTCTGTCTCTTTAATTATTGGAATGTTTTTTGCAAAGCATGGCAGTAGTGACAGTCGGGCAACGCAGCATTGAATAATGGCACAAATTTGTGCCATCAACCAATAGGGTTGCTCTAGTTCATCTGGTAACCGATGCGAGCGCTTCGGTCGTTTCTTGTCACTGCCGTGCTTTGGTTTTTTGTAACCAATTTGTAACTTTAGAATTGTGAAAGACATAAATGTACCATATTTTTTGCCATTTAAGATTTGCATTTCATAACGTGGCTTCAAATCAGGGAAAGTATAGATGCAAACGCAACAGACGAACAGACGCATCGCCGTTCACTCTATATTCTCAATTCATATGTTCATGCGTGCAGGCGACCGTGCATTTAGAGACGCACGCGTAAGTGTGAACAGCGACGAGTGTGTTGCGTCTGCATCTGCGTCTATAGTTTGTATCTTGTATAGAACTTTACGCGAACCGGTCCCTGCTTCAAATGCGACAAAAAAGTTTAAATTGGTAATATTTTGTTGGTCAAACGTTCTTTCACGTAGGTGATGACGAGGGTTCCTAGGGTTCGGATTAAATATTTTAAATATAAAATATTTTTAGGAACCCTCAACAATTTTGGAAATGAGGACCTTTTTTTTGCTCTTTACTTTTTTTGGCCGAGAAAATTCTTTCGATTTGCTAGGGTTTTTCGTCAAAAAAGTGAAGAGCAAAAAAAAACGATTTTATCCTCATTTGCTAGGTAATTTGGAGTTGAAAAATTCTTTCGATTTGCTAAGGATTTTCGACAAAGAAGTGAAGAGCAAAGAAAAAAAACGATTTTATCCCCATTTCCGACAAATTGTTGACTTCGTCAGGTTAGATAGATTTTTCTGGGACCCCCTACGGAATTTTGCCATCTAAAAAAATTTACGTCATCATCTATGGTTATTTCAATAAAACTCAATACAAAATTGCAGAAGAGTGTATAAAAAAAAATTCTCGAATTTTCCGATTTTAGAAGGCGTGTGCATTTTTTTTGGGGGGCAATATTTGTCAGTAAAATGGCATTCTTTGTGAAAGTTTAATCTCTAAAACATGCATATTCGGAATTTCAAACACCCAAAATATCATGTCAATGTAATTTTGAATATTTTTGTACGAATTTTATGACATTTTTCAGAAAATTTTGGACTATTTTTTTATATTTTTATGACATTTTTAGGGAATATTATGACCATTTTTGTATGACGTTTTTAGTATATTTAACTAGGTATTTAATGACACTTTTTGTATACTTTATAGATTTACCCCTCTTTAGGCTCCAATCGTTTCGTATAATGGGTATGTATCGAATTAATTCCAGTGTGGTTGGGATATCCAATTTTTCATTTAACACCATTTTCCGATCTAAACTACTGTAACGGATGATGGACGAAATTGAACTGAAAATACGTGGTTTTTTTTAAAAGCATTTCGGTTGTTTTCGGTCATCATTGCCACTTTTAATTGCTGTTGGAACCATTTTTTGATTTTGGATACGTTTTTAACATTTGTGATTAACTTTATGCATATACGTGTCGGGGTTATAATCGTAATGCATGTATATTCCATCAATGTTTTCTGTTATCGATCTGTCCGATTAATTGGCTGGGAATGATCAAATGTTTTTAAACTGCATGCATTTTAGAAATAAAATTTTCAGCCGTCCGTATACCCATCACAACACAAATTTAATATTAAATGAGGGTAAAACATGTAAACTCAAAGCGAGTATTGACGAAACATTTATTAATCGTTTTTTTAACCGTTTTTACCACACAAACATGACGATTTTATTGTTATAACACTTGTGTGAATTCACATTGGACTTTACATTTATTCTAAAGTTTGTGACGAGAATTTAAATGACTTAAACGTTGCTTTTTCTTATTCTAATTGCAACACAAACCATTGCGCATCTTGGGTTGTGTTGCAATTTTATTAAGAAAAGACAATGTTTAATAGACATTGTTTATTGTTTAAGTAATTTCAATTCTCGTCACAAACTTTTGTGGCTAATGTGAATTCACACAAACGATAAAACAATAAAATCGTCATGTTTGTCATGTGGGGTATATAAATCTCAATACTCGCTTTTAATATACGTGTTTTATCCTCATTTAATATTAAATTTGTGTTGTAATGGTTATACGGACGGCTGCAAAATGTATTTTCAAAATGCATGCAGTTTAAAAACATTTCAATGGCCAATTCCGGCGAAATTTTGTACTACACCCAAAGAGTTAGCAAGCGGGAAATTGAGATTGGACCTTAGTTCACCTAATTCAGCCATAGTTCAGGCCATTATTACGCTCCATCATAAATCTGTGGAGGCAAATTTCATGTTTGAGCCGATTTATATGGAAAATCAATCCGATGGATTAACTGGGAATGATCAAATGTTTTTAAATTACATCCATTTTAGAAATGAATTCTTCAGTCGTCCGTATAACCATCACAACACAACAATATTACTTAATATACATGGCGATAGTATTATTAAAACATTTATTATATAAAAATATATATGAATTTTGATTATAAAAAAAGACTTAATTCACTTCACTCACATTGAAATTTATTTTATCTTCGATTTTTATTTTTATCTTATGAACCGAATGTGTTTTATGCCAAAGTATTAGACTATCGTCAGTTAAGCAAGAATCAGAGGTATTGATTTCTGTAAATACAGATTAGTATGTACTTTGGATCTATTCAAAAAAAAAAAAACTCGAAAGATTTGTGAAAAGCAGTTGGAAACCACATCAACTAAAGATGCACACAGTTGAGCTTTCATAATTTAAAAGTAAATACAAGGTGGGCCAGAATAAGTGTCGTTTTTATATATGCTCAAAAAACGTATTGTTTTTTACTAAAATTGAACAAAAACTTAATTGGGATTTAGAAGAGGGTCCAAAATTTTAGATTCATGTTTTGGTTTTTATTCTTCCTCCATTTGCACGGACCACCAAACGCAAACGTCGTAAAAACGATTTACACGCGGCGCGCACCATTTCGATGGGAATATCGTTCCAAATCTTGACGTTTTTTGTGCAAATTCAAAACAAGTTGACGTTTCACATCCATTGCTATTGTAAAGTAAACAAGAACTGAGCAATACTGTGCATCGTCACAGTGGATTGCACAAACATGAATAAACATAACGGTGAACCAAAGGGTGATCGGAAAGCATTGTAGTTGAAATTACGTAGGTGCAAAAAAAGCGACACTTATTCTGGCCCACCCTGTACAGCAAATTGTTATATTTTTTAAGATTTTAATTTTATTTATTTTTCAGACAAAATAAACTAACCTAGTAAGTGAATATTCAGTATTGAGTGACTATCATTATAAACTATAATTATTTTGAAAGCAAAACTATAAATTGTAAAGTTCGTTAGCACATTTGCTGTAAATTCTTTACTTAGGTACTTTTACCTTTCAGCACACTACTATTTGTCGTTGATGGAACATTCATTTTCGGGCGATTATACTTGGACCGCCATGCTCTCAGGCTCATACCAACAGCGTAGAAATGTGAGTTATAGTAATTGCTATGAATGTTCATTTTTGATGGCATTCGATTCAACTGCAAGGTACTTTGACTTAAGTATTTTCGATATTCATTCGAATTGGTTGTTGGTTTCTCTCTAGAAGACGGCATCACTGTTTTCGCTGATTTCGATAACGTATTCACTGGCTTCAATTTACCTCGGATGCTGGCCACTCTTGGTGTTTCTTGTGATTGTTTGCGTGGTGATGATTTTGCTGATTCAACTGTCGCCAAATCATTTATTTCAATTTCAGGACCATATTTATTTCCAACACATTTAATTTTGCTTCGATCATCCTCCATCACTTCGTGATTTTCGATCTTTTTTTCTTCTGGTTCATTGATGGATATAAGCTTTGGGCCGCAGCTCGCATGACGACGAGACGAATCAGGCACTTTGCCCAATGGTTTTCGAGAGCTCAAGAGATTCTCTTTTTCCTTGATCTCATTATGTTTTGATGGATAGCGAGTCAATGCCAAATATGAGTTTAATCGACCCGACAACACTTTATCATTTTTCAAAACATTTTCCTTTTTTAGTTTGCCGAGTGACAGCAGTGCTTGATTTTTTCGTGCCGAATTCAATACCATTGGATTAGTATTTTCTTTGGCATCGTTAAAACCAATGAGCAATGAACGTGGCGATAGAATTGGCGTTTTTTCAGTTTCACCAATTAGCTGATCACGAACTGGTTTCATCGATAATTGAAAAGTTTTTCTGTCGATTTTTGATTTTACTTCCAGTTTTGGCTTTTCTTTTTTTCCAGTGCCATTTTTTAGCATCACTTGCGTTCCTTTCAGCACTAGATTAAGACCCAAATAAGCTGGAGCAGGCGGAATCACTTGACGATAAATCATCTCAAAATTACCAGTCGAAGCTTTTGGATCATCTCGATAATCAATTACGACTAGATTTCCATATGAAAAGTGGGCGATCCGTTAATGTTTTGAAAATAATATAAAAATAAGGTATCGTACCTTTAATAACATCTTCTAAACATTGTGGACATAGGCGTGCAGTTACACTTGTTGTGGCTCCCAAGTCTGGGGATGCATTTATCTCGATTAACCATGGTTGACAATCTTCGGATATCATAAAATCGGCACCATACAATTCAAACGTATTTGGTCTTCGATCCATCGAATCTTGAGAGCTTAACATTGTTCCGATTAACGCTTTTTGCATTCCAGGAAAAATACGTTCCGACCACATACTCGCCCTTCCGATCTGCCGTAAATATGCTTGAAACGTGTGATTATCCCACTTTAAAAAATCCAATTTAAAATTTTCATTAAATTATATTTAAAAAAAATTACCATCAACTGACCATATTCTCTCTAGGCAATCGCTCGTCACGCTGTTTTCCATTTGAATATCGTTTTTGAACCGCATGATTTGTTAAATGCACCGACTCATGAAAATTATCGAGGTCATACTCTTGTGAACTGAATCGCAGATAGCTCTCCTTGTACATGAAAATAACGAGTGGTTGTACGCTGGTTACCAAGAACCATTGCCTGATATCGAATTTACAGTTGTGAATTATCATGGGTCGTTCTGAGAATAATAATTAAAAAAAAAAATTTTTATTTTCCAACAAATTATGTACGTGAAAAAGAATTACTACTATTTCACTAGTTTGTAGTAAAGAACAAACAAGGACATAGCAATAATGCAATTTAAGATTGCAAATGAGTTGTTCGCATAAATGACGTGAGATTGATTTATTTAAACTTTTCACGTATTAAAAAATATAGTCCATGGCAAGCGTTGTTTTCGCATTTTATTTCGTAATTACCGATGTATTTTTGTAATACGTATCGTCCTTTATTAACGACTGGTGGATTAATATGTGCAATAATTTTTTTCAAATCGTTCATAAGGAGAATTCCTTTTCCTCGGCATCGGTTTGAAGGCTTTACAATCCAGATATTGAACACGCCATCGAGGAGAGCTTGAGGCCATACCTGTGTAATTTCATTCAAACATTGTTTGCATTCTTCCATTAAAAAATTCCATTGCATTGAATCGTCGGGCATTTGAAATGTTAAACGGTCTTGAGTGAGCATTTGGTAATGCATTAAAAATAATTCCCATTCATGGTTCCAAATACGTTCGGTATCTTCATCAATATCCAAATGATGGCAACATTTAACATAGGTTTTGCATTGTTTCAACGCAAAATGAATGCACGATATTGGAATTTGGCCGTTTTCAGTATACAAACATTCGGCCTCTTTATTCGCTGTTCGATCGACGAGAAATCGAAGTAGCGACATGCAAGCTGTCAATCGATAGTCATCGATAAATTCAGCTAAATCATCTGATGCACTATAGCTTCGCGGATAATATGTTTCCGATTTACCTTCTTCGAAAAACCAGTGTAAATCGCGCAATACATTGCATAGACCTTCTTTGGTTGTGAATGGGCTTTTGTGAAATTTATTAATCATTAAAGCTGGATTACGTGCAATGTCTATCCAATCGCATTTTTCTTTTCGAGCCGACCATAAAAAATCGATTGCCATGTGCTCCAGAAACCGTGACATAATATTTCGTTCACATTTTTGTATGTGTTGGCGTCGAGTCTCACCAGGTCGACGTTGTGGTAAATGTTGAGCCAAATCCTCCAAAATCACCTGACACGACCCATTCACCACCGAACGTCGATGTATATCCAATTTTTCAACCCATCCACGTTGCACCAAACTCTTGCGAATCGAATAAAAACAACCGCGAATCGTAAAGATTTTATGATTTTTTATAGCTTCTTGAGCTTTCTTTCGTAACTCGTTCAGACGTTCGGTGGTTATCCAATTTCGTCGCTCTAAATACGAAACACGTTTTAAAGTTGTTTGAGCGCTATCATCAACGCTACTGCATAAGCATGTACTTTCGGAATATCCGGTGCAACTTGAATAAACCATTGTTCCTTGCGTTTTATATACATCGGGGATTTGATCGAGCGGATTTGAATCATCAGATTTTAGTTTGATATCACTTTTATCATCATTTTTCACATTTTCATCGCACCCATTCTTGTTAACATTCTCTTTATTCTTTTCCGCGTTTTCGTTCTCAATTTCTACACATTTTTCGTCGTTACAGTGGATGTTTTCATCGGTTTGAGTCAAATTTGGCGTCACTTTGTCGTCGTCTTTCGATTTATTCGAATTTGATTGGTGATCAGGGTCAATGCGAACTGAACGTGGTGAAGATAGAGTTACTGTAGCTTTTTTTAACAGTTTCGACGGTCGACTAGTATCTAGATTCGACGACGATGTCCTTGATCCATTTGCTGGAATTGTTTTCGGTTCAATTGATTTTAATTTGGCTGTCATTGTTCGCACTATATAACTTTATTTTAAAATGGGAATATAGAACTCAACAACAGCAACACAAATGCCAAAAATGCTTGTGCTCAAACCGAATTTTGAATACGGATATTCAAAGTGGAAAATCGAAAAATTCAATTGAATTTACGGTTGAATGACAATCTCAAATAATATTGTTATAAATTGATGAAACATGCCAATAAATCGGCAATGTATTTGCCACAATGAATTCAAATACACAATTGAGCGAGAGAAAGACTTCAAAATAAATGCAAATACGAATGAAAGGAAATAACGCGGAAATGCCTCTAATCGTTTTACGTGACTGACTCCGACTGAACTCCTGGGAAAAAAATTCCAAAAATGGTACCGAACACAAATAACAAAACTCACACAATACAGAGAAAGAAAATGAAAAAAAAAATATTACAAAAACAACAACAGAAAGTTTTTTTCCCTATTACCAACCAGATGAGTGCAATATGCGAGTGCGAGTCGAACACAGCACTAGACAACAACAAATTTCAATTAATTTCGCTGTAGTTCAGTCAAGTTGTGAATAAGAAAATGGCATGTATGTGTGTGCCGTGCCAATTGCAAATCAAGAACTTAATTTCTGAAGAAAATGTAAGCACCCGAATTTATGACGACAACAAAAAACCGCATATATCAGTTCTCAAATGATGATTGAAAATTGTGTGAGTTAGCGCTATTTTTATTCATATTTCCTTTTATCGAAAAGTTCAAACAACTTCCCCGACCAACTCCAACATAATCACAATTCACCTGAATTGTACTGAATAGCAACAGCAATGATTAATTTGTAAGAATCGAACGGGCGCGCGTTCCATTCAAACACGCATATTTTCAGGCGTTATTCAAATACCGTGTGTGTGTGCAAGCAAAAATTAATCGACGCGCCATCGAACAAAACCTTCATATATCAATCCATCTTTCGAGCCAACTGTACATAGCGGGTACACTTTGGCTGCATGTGAAAAAAAAAGGAAATTTGAATGTAACGCCAAAGCAACGTGGAAAAATCGCGCGTTTCGCATCATTTGATCAGCATATTTTCGGTTGATGTATGTGTGTGTTGTTTATTATTGTTTCTATTTTACCGTACATAGGCAAAAGTATGGAGAAAAAAAAGGAGGGCTCGATGAAGGTTACGAATGTTTGCTCAATTGTGTGCAGAGCTACACACTTTGACGGCGCTATAAATAGATCACACACATCGTGTATACAACGCGAAAGGAAAAAGTGGAAAAATTCAATAGTGCAATAACCTGATTATGATGACCTACTTATTCACACCGATACAATAATATCCTTTTTTCCTAGTTTTTCCTATAGTTTCATGTATTTTGTGGTTTGGTCATAATCATACGTCCTCAGCAGAGGTCCGAGGGGTCCGATTTCCCCCCCCCCCCCCCTCCCTGACGAAGTGTAACCCTTAAAAATGTTCAAAGAATTCTTTCAATTTGCTAGGGATTTTGATCAAAAAAGTGAAGACCTTTTTTTTTTGCTCAACAACTTTAGAAATGGAAGAAAATCTTTGAAATTGCTAGGGTTTTTCGCGAGAAATTCTTCCGATTTGTTAGGGATTTTCGTCAAAAAAGTGGACTGCAAAAAAAAACAAGAAAAGTACACTTTTCGCAAAATACACTTCACTTTTTTGCTTACTCCTCTCGATTTTTTTCAATTACGCCCCCTTAATTTTTTCCCTTGAGGACGTATGTGCATAATGCCATAGTATACCGAAACTAATTCCATGAAAGTAAATTTCTCGGAATTTATTATCTATTTTGCAAACCAAAATCCAAATATTTTTTTAAAATTTCATCAAATTCAAAATATTATGAATTTTTTCTGCAAAAAATGATTTTTATAAATGTGTAACATCCACTTTACTGGGGGCATGTGTATATAAATACGCACTATGTGCTTAGATATATACAACGACCATATGTCAATTTGTCCACATTTATACAGTACTGCCGTAAGTTTTACGGAACGGTTTATTTTTGTCTGAAACTCACTGCATGCACCAAAACCAAAACATATCGCTTCAGATTGTCATTGTATTTCATTTGTGTCAAACGCTTCCAATATTTCTTATTTGAAAGGTAAAAATTAGATCTTATTTACGGATCATTTCTGCACAACTTTGCAAATACAATACAAAAGAAAAAAAAATTCAAGTGAATATTATTGAAATCAATTTGACATGTTTTCTGCAAAAAAAAAAATACAATAAAATTGTTTGATTTTCTTTCGAAAGCCAATTTGTTGTTTTATTTCAATTTCATTCATTCCATTGGTGTTTCAGAAATCATCGTTTCAAAAGTGCAGCTGTCAATCCAATCATACGTGCAGATGGCGCGTCGATACCGTCTCTTTGGAATATAAACACAAACATAAAGTTATATAAACTGAACACTTTTTTTTCGTCAGTCAAATTTATCAGCCAAACAATTGACGAAATAAAAAAAAATTGTTTATACGACCTGATTTTTTTCTGGCAAATCAAAACATCATTGTCAAAGTGCGTCTGAAAAAAATGTGTGCGATAATTCGATCATTGCGTAAAACATAACGATAGAACGTACATCAACAACAAAACTGTTCGTTTATACTTCCAATGAACTTTCTGCTGCTGCTGCTGTCTAGCTTTGCCTGCTGACAATATTTTCCATGATAGAGACTTGTCTGAAATGTCAAAAAAAATATAAACGTAATACACATACTTCATAATAGTTGAACATTAAATTAGCTACCATTCGAAATGAGAAAAACACATACAAACACATAGAGAGAGAGAAAAGCATAGCGAGTGTGAAGTGAATAAGCGAAAAAAATAATAATCAAAAACTAGTAGTGAAGCGAAGAAAATTCAGAAAAGTCAAGAAAACGACTCTCGTCAGTGCACAAAAATTTGGATCAAACTCAATAAACAAAAAAAAAGAAGAAATAATCTCGCGGTGACAGATGCAAATGCATGAACACACAGTGAATAAACAAGAGAAAAAAAGTGTTTGTATGAATATATAAAATAGACGGAAGACAAGGGGACGACTGAAATTCAATGTAGTTCGGAATGCTTTTGAAGTCGATTCGAATTGGCTAGTGTCCGAGAAAAGCGCGGTGTTTGTGTGCGTTTGATTTTTCTTACTGTGATTTTTGTTTTGTCATGAAAATCTAATGGAAATTTTAAAATTCAAAACCATATAGTTTTCGCGGAATAGAATTGATTGAAAAAAACGCACCGAATCAAAGGCAAATAAGCCGCGCAATTATTTCAAGTGCTTGATATTGTTCTGTGATCGTGACAATAATGGATGTAATTGCCAGTGTTGAAAAAGTTAATTTGTAATTAAATTCGTAGCGAAGATAGAAGTTTGTTTTTTGTTTCAAGATATACACAGTTTTTGAAAACGGTGAGTGTGTGCGTGTAAGGCAAGAGTGGCGAGGTCTTCCAAATGAAATATAGTGCGCTTTTAATAAGCGTGTGTTATTTTTTTTATTGATCGTAATGTTGAAATGAATGGTATCGTTAGAGATAGAATCGTTTGCTTCTGGTTTTTGGTGAGGAAGTTTAGGTGAAAGATTTACGACTTTTTGGCAAACGCAAATAAAATGTCAGCGTCTAATCAAGGTTATTGTTGCATGAAAGAAAAAGAAAATACATAAAAGACATTGTTGACAATTGCATTGAAGCATTGTGTGAACTACTTGCGTGTGCTTGTGTATTTGTGCATATGTTTGATTATGACGCAATTTGACAAAAAAAAAAAAAAACAGAACGATAATTTTAAGTACAAATTGTATTACATTGGCAGTCGTTTATAGTTTATGCTCATTGATCATCGTCATTGCGTATGTGTCTCCGTGTGTGTCTGTGTGTGTAATTCGAAGAGAACATATCGCATTTTGAAGGTGAATTGATGACAATAAAAAGATTCGAGTCACCAAATAGAAGGCACGTACACCGTACAACACCTGAAGAATGTTCTTGTTTTCTGTCAATGTTTTTTTTTTTCAATTCGATCGCCTCGTATCTTCATGCCTATATACAATTTGTGTTTTCGGCTTTTTGGGCCCCACAGCTACATCTATATTTGTCCATTCTTTCGGTAGAATCTTGCGTTATATGTTCTCTCTTTCTCTTCGTGTCGTTCTGACGTTTCTTCTCATCGAATTCAATTGAAGTATTCAAATTCACATCTACATATTTGAATATAGTTTTTTTTTTCTTTTTTTCGTCATCATCCGTATGAACACAGTGACGAAAGAGAACCGCAGCACATATAAGAAACCTACATAAAATTCATACAAAACCGAAACAAAAGAAGAACTCTCTCACACGGTGTGCACACACATATAGAAATAGACAGACAAACGTGCACGCAACGCGCCAACAACAATACATAAACGAAAGAAAGAGAGAAGAATAGCAAGAGACCAAGATAGAGAACGAGAGACTAAAGTGCTCATCCGATGTTACAGCTCAATAGAAATCATATCACATTGCTTTTGAATTGGTTGCCGTTGTTATTGTTCGGCATTTTTTTCTTTCTTGTTATCTTCTGTCTCCTTCTGCCTTATGCACAACTTACCTTTATAAAATCGTTTTGGTTTTTTTTTATTTGTGTTTTGTGTCGAAGCAAATCAACTCCAGATATGAAAAAGAGCATTTTACTGAATTGTGAAATGAATAAAAATATAAGAAAAGATATGAAAGAACACAGTAAATTAATAACAATAATAATTATATGAATAATAAGAATTCCAAAAGCAATAGAGAGACAGAGGAGAAAAAATCTGCTCCGTTTTCAATCTTTAAACAAGAACACATACACGCACGCCAAATTCAACTCGCATGCAATCCATCAAACAAGAAACACATTTTTTTGCTAAAAGAAAGACTCACACACACACTGCCTAGATAGAAGAAGGCAGAATTGTTTTCAACCCGAATCCGATGCGATATCATGAGGAAAAAAATGTACAAATACTATCTGCCTCCGCTCTCTCTCTCTCTCTCTCTCTCTCTCTCTCTCTCTCTCTCTCAGCAACAGAAACAATGGCACTTTGTTCATTTACAGCGTCATGTTATTGGTCCCTATGTGCAAATTGAAATTGCTATCTATATATAGTATTTCGCAGTTGTCGGATCTCCGTTCTCGTTTTTTTTCTCGCAAAAAAGAAAGAGATATCATAAACAACTGCTAGTCGATAGAGGATGAGTCAATGTTTAATTTAGCGCCTCAAACTACACGACTCATCATTTTATTATACGGAATCTACAGAGCAAACATCCACAATTTCTTCATTTCCCTCTTGTTTCACCTATAAACATGTTTACTGGTTATTTTTCTTTCTCTTTCCATCTCTTTCTCTTTGGCTCTCTTTCTGTTGTTCCGTTCTTCTCATAAGCTAGGATGTTACTTAGTTTCATCAATCGATAGAGGACGATTTAGTTTATATGTCGAAAATGTTTTGGTTCCGATGTACGCGCAAGTACCAGTGTGTATGTTCGTTTGTGTGTGGTGTTAGTGGAAAATTTAATGACATCTATCGCAAAGATTAGATTTATTTGTATTTTTATTACGATTGCGTCATTATATGTGCTTAGCCGATGTGTATATGGATTGAACAGCAAATAAAAAAAAACATTGAATCGATAATACACTATCGGTCGCGTTCTCTGTCTCAATGGCCCGTAATATCTCGTGAGACTGGGTTTCAGTACGCATCTCACCGAAAGTACATAAATGTACACTGTACAGACAAAATAACATAATGTACATTGTACACATTCGAATGATATGTATGTGAGAGAGAGGAACCGAGTGAGAAGAGTAAAAAGAACAAGAAGTGGAAGAAGAAAAAAAATCACGCGGTTAATACATACTTTATGTGTACTTATGCTCATCGTATGTGGTACACGCAATGCGTAACGTTTCCGAACAACTTGAGACCAACACATTTAGAATAAGAAACAATCCATCCTTCAAAATGTCGATTGAATCGAAAGCGATTCTATGCCATCACATTAAACCCGACCAAAATTGGACACCAAAATAATTGATGTTTACGCAAGATATTTATAAATTCCATATTGTCGCACTGCGTTTGTTTGCATTTACAAGAATCGAAATTACATCAGTGCTTGTTGTGTTTCGTTGACATTTTAAATGATCTTGCGTTCTGGGTTTTGTTTGCGTGTGTTCAACATTTTGTGCTATTTATATATCCGCATATAAAAATTGGCCAATCTCCACTTTACTGGTTCATTAATCTCTAACTCGTTCAACAATCACAGGCCTAATTCAGACCTTGATAAGTGGCATGAGGCTTTTATCATTTTCACTTTAAGTAGTAACCCACTGGTCGATAAAAGTTTTGGCCATTTTGCCAAAAAATATTGCTAGCATTCGCATTTTATGTTATACTATATGGATATAACCAACGATACTCTCATATTTTCGGTCAATATACTCAAATGTTGTTAATATACAATGATATTCAATCGCTTCGGATAGAACAAAACACGTCTTATGCCTACCCATTTCGGTCACACCGAAAATAATTATCATTTAGTCTCCGGAATAGACGTTCTCGGTGAAGATGTTTGTGGTTTGGCAATGTTTGTGCTCGTTTTATGTAGTCCATACAGATTAGGGTAGTGTTTCGATAACATACAAATGGTGCGATTAGATTCGGTTGGCAAGCGTGTGTATTTATTTAATGCAAACGACAAAACTCCACATATATATGAGACTCAATTTACATCGAAACTAAGTAACACTCGTATTTCATTATTGTCAACGAGGTGTTTCTTGTACATGTTTTTATACTCGTTCCCGGTCCGCTTGCTCATACTTTTTGATTCCGTCATTCTTATCAATTTGGTATTTTTGCGATAAGATACTTTAATTCCGCAAGTGAAAAAAAAACCGTACAAAAAGAACGACGTGAACAGAACAAAAGCCGCGCTCGCCATAGCAATACCATTAAATGTCGTTTACTTGGCAAAATACATCCAGCAAACTTCAATAATTGTCATCGTTGCTTTTGTTTCACAACGTTCAAATATACAACTATAATATATTACTTTTTTCTCTTGATATAAAGAGGCTGTGTTTTAAGTTGACATCACACATCAAATGAATGAGCAAGCACAAAGACTGTATATAGTCTACACACCAAAAAAAAAATATGAATGAAGTAAGAGTTTCCTTTGTGTTCCAGCCCAGAAAAATAAATGTGAAGCAAGAAAAGAATTGAGCAGCCACTCACTCATTTTTACTTGCTTCGCCTATTTATTAATAATTCAGGTGTTGGTTTTACCTTAATTGGCGACTGTTTACATGTGCTGTTCCCGTGTATATGTTCTTTCCATAACATACTCGGTGTCGATGTTTAAAACAAAGGGGAGATTCGTATTTGCATACAAAATGTATTTGCCTAGTCTATATTAAAGACATTTTCATCGTTATGATGATGCTAATCAAGATTGTTGTGCACAAAATTGAGAAATTAGTCTTTCTTTACATGAATGGGATGCGATGCGCCGATGTTGATGCGCAAAATAGTACAATCTCCGAAAAACACATGCACCCACTGACAAAATGTGATTGTACATATATTTGGATGTGTGTGATATTAAAACCACAATTATTCAAGCGTAACCTCACAATGACACCAATTTCTGGTAATGCCAAACACTGAATCACTGAATTTCAACGTATGACTCGATTTTATATTTTGAGTACGGTATATTGTCAACACTGAAATTAGCTTAATTCAACGTACTATCTTATCAGATGAGCCTCTTTTCAATGAAGCGAAATGTATTATTTCTTTTAAGTAATTTTGCCTCTGGATTCTCACATTTGCATTGCACAAATTAAAACATGATGATACAGAGAAAGAGAGAGAGAGAGGAATCAAAAGAATCAACGACGTCAAAACAATGACGATTTTATGTTTTTGAATAAATACGGAAGAATATTTTCGAATGTACACGCGAATGCACATTTTCAGACGTTCATCTTTGCATATCACAATACCATTCTCAATCTGAAATGTAGCCGCTTGCCGTAACAATGCTGTTTTATTGCTTGTTTCGCCTATTGAAATTTCTTCGTTTTTATATAAATGCTACTTTTCAATTTGATTCGTTGCCTCTATTCGTGTTCCTTGTTATTTGTTTGTTTGTTTTTTGTGTATGCACTGCATACTATGCAGTTTCGTAAATTTGCATATCACAATCGTCTCTTTCTAACTTTAAATCAAATTCGACGGTATTTCGATTTCGGATAGAACTCTTTCATTCTAACTTCTAACATTGACTATGTGTTTATTACTCTTTTTTTCTCTATTGACCTCGACTAATGATTAGCATTTACTTCTAACTTTTCTTCGCGCCATTTTTTACTCAGTCTAACAATTTTATTATCGTTTCATTTGCATTCATTTGATTCTTATTGCAGTTTCTGTTTATTTTTTTTTCGTACGCGTTCAAGTCGTCATAAGTCCATTGTTTATGAACATTCCTTTCAGAATTTACGATATGGCGTGTTATTTTCAAGAATTCAATTGAGTTTCAATGACGGTTTCAGTTTGTGAATATGCACATATCAAGCGATTAGATACACTTCAAAAACTGCTCTTCATTAACAATTAATATTTCGAGGTTGAATCGCTAATTCGATCGATATTCAACAGGGTTGGAAATTTTGGATTTTAAATCAAAATCAAAAATGATTTCATCTAAAAAAAATTGTTGACCAACTCCAAAATCCAAGAAATATGTTGGAAATTATAAATTGTACATGAAAAAGATACCAAAAATGTGTATTTTATTTCAGTTTATTCAAACCAAAACACAAAAAATCAAATAAATTGATTTTAGCTGCATCATCTTAAATCAAGATTTTTTGAATGATTTGCTGATTTGTGAAATCATTTGATCTCAAACCTGATAACCCTGCTATTCAAGTCATTTCAAAAGTTCAAATAATTGAGTAAAGCATTGTTTCAACACAAGATTCTCGCTCAAATTCAAGCAGACGCATATTCATTTCTATAGTAAATTATTAAACCACTTAAATATTAAAATTAATATGTTACAATGTTTGTCGCGAGCGCACTTAGATACAAAATCCTAACACACACCACAGATATGGCTTTTTGCCCTTTTGGATTTCCATTTAAAATTATATCCCATTTTCTGACTAACTTTTTGTACAAGATTCTCAAGGAATTAACGAATTACTACAAATACTTCTTGTATAAACTAACTGTCATCTCATTTATCATAGGATGTATTTGAAAGTATTTCGAAAAACCCAAAAACCGCACACAAACACAGACAAATAGTTTAAGTGCATAAGAGAGAACTTTAAAGTAACCTCCATGATTTGCGTTGCATAATTTTGGTCGTAAAAATTGGAGTAGGGCAAATTTGTTAGATATTGCAAAGTTCTGTCATTAAGTTTCAAAGTCTCTTTAAGAAACTGTGCCTTCTTTCATCTTTGTGCACATTTTAAACTGCAAATCAAAGAAGATGGCTTGGTTTTTTCGTCGGTAAATCTTTTTTTGAAGTGGCATAGTTTCCAATATATCAACTCATAAAGTTCGTAACCGAAACACTAAAGAAACATTCTTAATCTATTTTTTTTTTTCATTCTCTCTCGTTTCAGCGCTTCAATTCGCTCAAAAGGAATCATTGCAGTCGCAGCTTTTTATGTCGTATTTATAATTTTTCTTCGTTATTTTAGTTTCATTCTTCTTCCATTTTATTTTTCGGTTGAAAAAATTTTTTGAAATTTTTTTTTATTTTGTGTGACAGTGAAGAAGATAGAGAAGAAAATTCCGACTTCCGTTTTTTATGTGCCTCATATTATTATTCTTTTTATTCGTTGAAACCACTTAATTTATGTGCCAGATCAACGAAAACCGCAGATTCGTTTTAATCAACATTTTTTTGTGAACAAAGCTTTTTATTTTATTTGCCTAACAAAATATCTTAAAAGTGCGACAAAATACATCATAAGCTGATTTTACTTATTCCACATCGTGCTTCTACTGCTGTTGCTATCGGATTAAAACGTCAACATGGCTTGGACAGAGGTGAGTTTGATCTTTTGTTATCTTTATTTTTTTTTAGCCGCACAGAAGAATGAAAAAATGTTTCCAACTGTGACAGTTTGACAGTTGAAATTTTTCTGAGGTGAATGAAAATGACAAGTAGTTTGGGAAATAAAAAATGAGAAACTGAAAAACTTTTGATGAAACGTCAAAATGAAAAAGACAATCGCAAAAACCACCCTCGGACACATATATGCAAAATTCATTTGCGTTCGATGCAAACAATGTACAAAATGCAATAAACCACCCACAGTGCACCAATCGGCCATTAAACTACGTGAGCACTCTCTACATCATGCATCTGCCGTTCGAATAGAATATCCGATAAGCAAACATTTCAAACCGTATGCCTTAAACCAATAGCCAGCAAAAACATGCACATATACACACGAGCGGGAGAAAAATGGAAAATACCAAAAATCGAACAACAGTTTTTAGTTCAATTTAGGTGTCGCACTGCAGCAAAAATACTTGTTTGCTTTGGCATTAAATCCAAATATCATTTGCTTACATTCTTGGCTATATTCGAACATATGCGAGCGCGCGCGTGATCCACGCTTTTGTTTATCCCAATTTTACGGGCTTAACGTTTAAAACAAACAAATCCATACGTGAATGCACTCGAATTGAAAACTGTCGGCGAAATTCTTTTTTCTTTCGTTCTGAAAAGGCTGTTGTTCTCGGTTTTCGCGCCCATAAACAGTTGAAACAGGTCAACATATTTGAGTTGATCCAATTTAATTAAAATCGTTTTTTTTTGGCATGGGTTTTCCCCGTCTGTTGTAGTAATTTATTTTTTGTTTGATAATGAATTTTGGTTCAAAATTGGAAGTACATTTTCTCATTAAACGAAACATTGATGTTTAAACGATGTTAGCAAAAATGTTAATGAAAATGCCATTGGTTACAATGTTTCATGGTCAAATGTTTTGATTGCTCATCAAAAAAAAAAAAAAAATGAAAATAGAAATTAATAATAACGTCCTATAAATAATTTTCAATTACATTCATTAAATTATGTAACTGCTATGCAATCAATTTCATCTCTTTGTTGCATGAGTCAAAGGTTTTTGTGTGGAAAATATATCCTGAGTGCAAAAAAATATCGAAGCAAGCATATAAGGTTGATTAAAGGAATGGCATAGATTCGGGTCAAGGTTACATCCACAGTATTTATTTCGTTGTTGTTTTTCAAAATGTTTTTGTTGCTTCGACTCTTCGATGCAAGATGCGACTGCTGCTATTGCTGTTGTTCCATCATTTTCTCGACTTTTTCGCCAACCGGAAAAAGAAATGCGAGAGATAGAAATATATGTGCATTTCGATATGCACCGAGTTTGTATGTGTGTGTGTGTGTGTATGTTATGGTTTTTCGTTGTTGTCGTGTGTACATTGCTGCCGATTTTATGGGTGAGTCGTGCTAACATGAAGCCCGTCGGAGATACGCAAGATTATACATGCGCCAGCCATTGGGGATCACATATGTGTAGCGTATTTTACCAGTGTAATACCATAGTTATGATGCTATTCAAACGTAATTGGAGCCGTTTGTTCGACACAAACTTGCATGCTGACCTACATACACGATCACACTAATTTATTGCAATGACTTCAAATTATACGAAATACACTTTATATCTCGATTATGTTCCCTATTTTATTCTTAACTGGTGATTCTGATGCTACTGTTACTGCTGCCATTCTCGTTCATCACATCTTCAATAAAATCAATTGGCAGTTTTATTTTTAATTCATTGAACCACATTTATGCCTTCCGCGTTTACAAGAGATGTCGATGCTGTAAACATGTTCTCTCTTTCTATCATCTTCGTCGCCATAATGTGTGTTCAATTTTTATTGAATTCAATGTGTGTTATGCAATCACAGACCATTTTGTTTGCAAATGATGGTGTCGTTGTCTATTTTCAGTTGTTTTCCGGCCATACACACCCGAATACGGAAGCCATTTATTGCTGAATAGTACTTCATTTAACTGTCATCTGTTCATGATATGCACTTTATACTTTCCGGCACATAAATTGATGCAATCAATTGTTTTTCTCCCTCTGGTTTTCGCTCGCGCACACCTTTTTTTTCGTTTTGTTTATTAAATAAACTAAAATAGAATCATTTCGTATTTGTTGGTTGGGCATTTTGGATTTTTTTTGTCGTCTCCATAAATTGGTCAACATATCATATATAAAATTGCGACGAAAATCGATTGAAAAACAGTATTTGCTTAATTCAAAGTGAGACGCAACTTGAAAGTAACAATCTCATTAGTTGTGTCTCCAATTTAATGTCGTCGCAAGTGACAAAGAATTTCTTTGGTAATAAAGTGTCATTAATTTTATGACGCAAATTTTTTTTTTCGCGAGTAGAGAGCGACAAAGCGACAAGAGAAGAGAAGTAAAAAAAAACTTGTACCAGTAAGTCATTATGAGCTTTATTATCAGTTCGTCAGCTTTTACGGCTGTTATGCCATTCATTGGTATGTCCTTATTCGTTTTGCAATATTTTTCATAAAGATTCAAAAAAATTTACATCTTTTTGAATGACAGAGAGAAATAGATAGATGGAAAAGAGAAAGAGATAAAGATGGAGAGTGACAAAGAGAATTAAAGAGAAAAAAGAGCATGAATACAAATCGGGATTGAATGGTGTGCGGTTTATGTGACGCAATTGCGGTTGTAAATTTCATGGAAACGGAAAAACATGAAACTGATGTTCAGAAAAAAAAATTGAAGGTTTTAGAGTGGCTGCGCCATATACAAATGATGTTCTCGTTTAAAAATTTAACAGGCATCACCATTGTGTGTCATCGCCGATGAATTATGGGTCATACAAATGGTGTTGGTGCAGGTTGTGTTTTTTCGCATAATTCATGATTGACATTACAAACCGAACGATGGCATTTTTCATCTAAGTAAGAATAATGCTCTCCAATATCAATTTTGTATTTCTCACCAATGCTGTTGTCGTCATCGTCGTCGACACACTGACGACAACAAATCACCATTCACATTCGATAGCTATGTAATTAAATATCATTGTTGAAAATTCTATTTGCCGTCCGTGATTTATCGTGGAAACTATGGACTTTATGCGATGAAATTTGAACTAATTTCTTGTGCATTCGAAACCTTCAATCCGACAATTAAACTGACCTAGAAATATAGTTTATGTATGAAGCACTTGTCAGTCTTTAGTTGATGCAAACCGACAGATGTTTGTAAACTATGCTCGCTTATATAGCATCTCCAACATTTAAAATAGATAAATAAATCTTGCGCCAACTCAATGGAGACAGAAGTGGAGTCCAATATCCAGCCATAATACGATGATTTCGAAATTCGTCCTGTTTGCAAAAAAAAAAATAGCTTGAGGCAATGTTCAACTTTTCCATTTTCATGGTCAAGCTGTGTGTATGAGTCACCATCGAGTTTCTTCAAATTGATAAATAACTCGATTCAAATAAAGTTTAAAACAAGGAAAATTTCTTGTATTTCTGCTGTTTGTATCGCATATAAACCGGTTGAGAAATATCAAATGGAATGAGTTGCTCTTTTTTTCGCATAGTGTATCCAACTTGTATTCATGATATTTGCTTGTACTCGATGATGCAAGCGAATACACTATATTTAACGCAAACATACGCGCAACTAAATACACCGTTCAAAGTGATTTTGTGCGCTTGCGGTTACGGTTGTGTTTCTACATGATAAGGTGTGTGGCTTTGTCTCAACATTGATCGTTCATTGTATACCGTGTTGTGTTGATCGGAACGTATATTTTTTTTCGTTCAGTTCCAAGTTAATTTAAGTGTTTTTGAACAATTCAAAGAGAGATTTTTTGTGTTATTTTCCGCTAATAATCAGCTAAAGTTGATAAATTCACAGGGCAAAGCATATCGCATAAAATGCAACAACAACAAAAAGAAAGCTGAAAGGAGGTTTTTAGCTCGATTCTTATGATAACAGTTTTAGTTCACGTCATTGTGTTTTCGTAATTTGAGTGACTTTTGAAAGAGTTTTCTCTCGAAACTGCAATTTCTTTTCTTTCATGCAAAATACGTTTGTTTATGGAAAAATCCAAATTAAATGGCACACAGTCCTACAAAAATGAACACACTCGCATACGAATGAAATCATCTTAAAATCGCAAAACAATTCTTCTATGAAACAAGCTTAGCAAGTTTTGCGCTCGCAGATCCAGAACGAATGCCACGCTCACCGTAGCAAAAGAGAAAGAAAACCCGTTTCAAATTCTTTTCTCGATTGAAATTTCTGCATTTTATAAACAGCTCACGACATTATCGCACACCAACCAATCTAGCCAAGACCAAACTTATGCAGATCAATTCACCAAAAAGAATTTCAATTTAAAACAGAAAAAAAACCGTCATACATTTGAAACGAGGGAAAAACTTCGATTTGAATGTTTAAAATGAGATTAAGTGTGATATCTTTATTTCATATAATAATTTTATCCACTTCGTTTACTTCACACTTGACCATCGGCATTTCTCTTGTTTCGAATACTATGTGAATGTGAAGAATGTTTGCATTCCAATCGACGCTATCAAAAATGTGAACGCACACAAAATTTGTGTTTCTTTCACATTTCATCGAAAATATTTGTACATCGCGATTTTCTAATACACATACACCCAGATCAGAAATGTTCAAAACGTATCGAAACATACATGAATTGTGTTGGAATAATATATGTATGTGAATGCGCATGATGTAAATTCTAATAGAATTTCACGAAGGAATGACAAAAACACAAAAACGACAAAACAATGTGAATGCGATAGAGATTTACCGTTTTCTCTTCATTCATTATCGTTCTGTGTGTTTATATGCTGCTGCTATGTATGTTTGTTGTTGATTTTTTTCCCTATCTGTATTGTGTAAAATTTATGTTCTCGGTGTTCCCGTTCAGTGACAATAATCGTCGGCATTATTTTACCTGAAACC